GGGAAAATAAAACCCTGCCTCTCTCCTCGCTTTCTGCTGCTGCCTCGAAGTGCTTTTTGCTCCGTGTTTTCCTGGCAGAAGCGTGTAACCCAGGTGAAGGCAGAGAAGGGAGGGTTGTTTTTATGAATGGGACTCTTTGAGGTTAATTAGCTATGCAAATGCAAGCAGTTCATTCATGATTTTTTTTTTTTTTTTTTTAAATCTAAAAGCCATCTTGTATTCCCCTGTAGGCTGATTGGAGTCCAGATCCTGAGGAAATCTCCAGATCAAATGCCCAGTAAATAAAACACTGAGCTAAGACTTGTGGAAGAGCTGCAGAATGGATGGATTTTATGACCAGCAAGTGCCTTACATGGTCACCAATGTGAGTGATCAGTTCAAAGTTGTGTTTATAAACTTGACTCCGACTTATTTCTGTGGGGGAGTTCTGCAGACAAGAGTTATCTGCTTTGTTACTGCTCTAGGGACGACTCTTCGTCTGGGAGCTTTGCCTGCAAGATTGAGCCTATCTTCTTAGTTATTTCAATAAAGCGTCATGTCCTTTAGAAGACAGTTTTGGGATGATTAAAAAATCATGCACATGATTAGCAGATGAGAGAGGCAAGAGCAGCAGCAGCTGCAATCAAAGTTTGTGGCTGTGTTTGCTTGCAACACTCGGAAGAATGAAGTTGAAGCAAACGTTAACATTTTTTTCCTTTTTTTTTTTTCTTTCAGAACTTTGCAAACAATGTTATAAGTAACAAAGGGAAACAAGGCAGTCAACTGTAATTTCATATCTGGGTTCCCCTGCATAGCTTATGCAGAGGGGATTTATGTGGTATTGTGTAGGTTTGTGTACTTTATACGCTAAAAATACATGGTTGGTATTGTGTTACTGCTTGAGCACATATATGTATCTGTACAAGTAGAGTTCTAATATAGGTGGCTAGAAATGTGTTGCATTTAGACACAGGGATCTTTTGGAGGGTGTTAAGTGTGCTCAGCAGTATGTTTTGCTAGAAATTGGAGGCTGAAAGACAACAATATCCCAGTTTGAAAATGTAAAGAATTCATGCCAGCTTTGAGTATTCTTGATTAAATAAAAAAAAAACACAACACAACAAAACACAGAAAACTTCAGATTTCTAAAGTAACTGATCTTTCCTGTTTATAGAATCCGCGTGGGAGGAACTGTAATGAGAGACCGACAAATGTCAGGAAAAGAAAATTCATTAACAGAGACCTGGCTCATGATTCAGAAGGTGAGGGCTTGTTGTTCCCCCTCCTTTCCCCCTGCTTAATTACTAATGCAGAGAAGCTTTTTGAGAGCTATTTATTTATTTATTTAGGAGATAAATATATCTAGATCAGTCTGAATAAACAAGACAAGAGAATTGCATTTACTACTGCAAAACGAACTGGGAAAGGCAATAAACCGATCAAGCTGATATTCCTTACTTGATTTACCCTGTTGCATTTTAGGTACTGCTGCACATGTGACACAAGGATTTCATGCACTGAGGCCAAGCCTTTGCATGGCACCTGGCCTTTTCACCTTCAGGGCTTTCCATGTTCCTTCCCTCTTTTAACATCCTTTTCACTGGTGTGTGTGTTCACTGGTGGTAGCAAGAGCTAGAGTGCTGTTGGGGCAACGTAGGGTTTCCCTGTAGCTTTAATGTAGAGCTGGTCATCAGGCTCCTGGTGTGTGGTAGCACGTTTCTATTGCTGTGTAACACTGGTAGGGTTAAAAATCCTGGGAAATTTGATTATGGAAGTCTCCAAGTCTAGAGCAGATGAAGTTTTGGAGGGCTGAAGATGTGTGACTTGGTCCCATCAGTAGCCCCACACATGGCTGTAGCTGGAGAACTGCAGTCTAGCAATAGCTGCTAACACTTTTTTAGGTTAAGTGGTCAGCATAGATGCTACGCCTACACCCCTGTAAGTACATTAGACATACAGGAAGGTACATATGGCCCTACAACTTACCCCTATATAAATCCTATCAAGGTGAGGACACATTGATACACTTCCAAAAATCCCTACTCGTTTGGGAAAGTTTATTTTAGGGTGGTTTGAAAAGAAAACAATTCTCGATTTTCAGTTAAATCATTTCTCAACGTGAACATGAGGTATCAGCCCACAGGATAAATGAATAGCTCTGCCATATCAGTGTATGTAAATAGTTATCTATGTCAGCATTCATAAAAGAGGAAGTCTCTCTCAAAATACAGTAAATTAAAAATAAACCATGTGTCAGTTAAAATATCCTACTTAGTAAACAGAATTTTCATAACTGAGTTTCTGAGCTTTGCAAGTAAGCCAAATGCTGCTCTAGTTTACACCCATTAGCAATTGATTTCAGTGAATTGCCAAAAAACCCTAAAAAGATAAGCTGCTGCAAAACTCAGTCCGTGGAGAAACTGGTTTCTCTTTAAAGAAATACAGTGAGTACAGCATAGAGGAAATAGTGGTGATTCTCTTGTCATACAAAGTAAAACATAGGGGGAAGTACAAAAGATTTCCCATTTCTATTTGCTATTGCAGCATCTCAGGTCTTTTCTTCAGAGTTTTTATGATATTTACAACTCTACTAATAAAAATACTCAGTCATTGCTGGGTCAGAACATCCATTGAAGTCCGAGACATATTTATCTGGAGCTGTTACTGCAGGAGGAGGCCTGAATTGTATAAGGAGAAATAGTTCACCTGTAAGAAACATTATAATTTTTAACTTTCCTATGTATTGTTGAATGAGCCTTTTATACTTAACCTGGTCTAAGATTCTGGTTATTATTTCAAGGGTTGATAAAATAATACAGTGTTGTTTTTTTTATTAACAAGTGTATAAAAATCATTAACTGCAACCCAAAAATATATATTTTGTCTATATATTTGACTGCCAAAATATAATTAATAAAATACAATTTTTTAAGGGAAAAATACATTTTTGAGCATATTTTAATCTTACAAAGAGATTAAAGGTGTGAGTCTTATCCATGTCTTCATCTTTTTGCAGAACTCTTTCAAGATCTGAGCCAATTACAGGAGACATGGCTTGCAGAAGGTAAGGGAAAAAACTGCTTGTAAAAAGAGGAAAATCAACTCTGGAGGGAAAAAAAAAAAAGTACTGAACTTGCTGTCTTAATGTTCAGCCCAATTAATTGAGCTCTAAAAGAGCCACCTCATGTGTCATGCATACATTAGAGCCTCTGATGAGTTTGTCTTTGGGGACTCTGGGGCTGCTCTACCCAGTGTCATCACAAATTACCAGGAGAAATTGCTTCCAGCTCACAATCACATCTGCTTTTGGCAAGAACTAATGCACCAAGACTTCAAGTTCTAAGCCTCTGTTCAGATTTTAATTGCAATTGATCAGGTTTATATTATTGTACCTCGAGAGACTACATACAGCCAGAACTAGGCTTGCTGTTTCCTTTAGAGCAGCACATATAATTATTTGGTGTTCTGGTGGAGTACTTTTCTGATGGCAGAAATTAGTTTCTCTGGGTTCATCGGGACGGGATGCTTCAAGATTTAAGTGCAAGTGTCTTCTTTCCACCTTGTTCACAACACAGAACAGTAGGTGTGTATGGAATACTTAAAAAGTACTATTTCTTTCTTCCTTCCTTCCTTTCTTTCCTTCTTCGTTTCTTTCTTTCCTTCTTTCCTTTATTTTATTTTATTTTTTTATTTTTTATTTTTTTTTTCCTCAGGAAACTTTAAATATTTTGCATGTTATTTTTGTCTTCATATTTGTAGTTGTGAGGTTGTGTACTTGGTGATTAGAATACTGGCATCGGTCTGTTTTACACCTGCTTGTGCTTTTAAGTATTTCAGATAATTGTGCAGAGCACATGCTATTAAAGAGAGAAGGTTTAAGAACAATAATACAAAAATTTCAATTTAGAGTAGCTGTTGAGAGATTCATTTAACAATAATAAAAAATGAGCTGCTACATTAAGAGAACTTTAATAAAATGCAGTCTAGCTTTCTGATTGTTGAACTGTATTTGTTCTCTTCAGCAATATTTTCTGATTTTATTTCCTTTGATATTTACAATACTCTTTATTTCAAGCATAAAGGTTTTTATGCATTATCTGTTTTTAGTATTTCTGGTTGAAATAGTTATGTAAAATTCTGCATCTGAAATAAACATAATTTTTATGCTAGTTAACATAATCTCTCCAAATTTATCCTGATTTAAATGAATATAAGTATTCACACATGTTTAATTTTTATCATGTACCGGACTATGCACAATTGTTTATAGAATAGATGTTATGCTCTTTCTTGGGAAAGGAGGGATATTGGGGTGAGCTTCTTGCTGCTGGTTTTCATAGAAAGAGGGAAGTATTGCTGATGACTACTTGCCTACATTCTGTTTTTGTTTTAACAGTTTTATATATAATTTGTCAGGTTCTTAGCCTGTAAGTTGTGGGGTATTGGTTTATTTTGTAGATATTATTATTCTCCTAGCATTATTTTTAGCATGTGTTTATTCAGTATATATCAAAAAGTCCACTTGAAGTTAATAGATCAGAGGAGATATTTTTATGAATTAATATGGTTCTTTCCTACTAATTGAAAACAATGTCCTGTACTAAGGTCATTTTTGTAGTATAATGATCAGATACAACTGTAACTGTCACCCTGTGGTAATTTTCCTATGTCTCTACTTATTTTGTATCATCTCATGCATTCTAACAAGCCTGAAGTATGTTAAAATACTACTCAAAAGATACGATTTTTTTTTAATGGAGAGAAGAACTTTTAGTTTGGGTTTTTTTTTACTGGCATAGATGTTTCTGTTTCTGGAAATGATTGAATTTCTTTGATCCTAAGTCAGAAAAATACTGGGAGATTCATAATGCATGTGCAGATAATGTAAGTTTGAAAAATAATAGAAATTAAAAACTGATTTAATAATTTCTGCAGGTACATAAATTACTGTAATGGCAATTTTTATTCTGGAAGCACTGCTTATTTTAGAATAGAATGAATTGTTTGAGAGCCTTTTTTTCTCTTTAGCTGAGTCTGTGTCACTTAATAAACTTAGATAGGTTTTGAGACAGAAAGGTGTCTAGTCCTGTGTCAGGTAGGTTGGGGAACCTTTGTAAAAGCAGAATGCATCATCGGGTAAGTATTTTAAAAGGGGGAAAAAAATGTTTCATGTAGCAGATGAGAATAAAACTGAATAATGTTATATTTTCCCGTAGCATATTACAAGTAAATATTACAGATTTTTCAGTGTTTGCCATGGTTTTGCACACCTTTTCTAAAGGCTAAACTAAAACTGAAATAAAAAGTTAAGAGAAAATAAAAGACTGGGCCATTAATGTGATCGCAAATATTTATTAAAATAACCCCACACCCAAACCAACTTTTGGTGGTCTCTATAATATACTGATGTTTGAGGATATTGTAGCTTTGCTGATTTGTCTAAATGGATGAGCTTATCAGGAAACAGATTTTGAAATCAAACTTGTTTACCCATTGCTAGATATGTCCATTTATGTTCTTCTGGATCTTCATAGGCTAGAAGTCTGCCAATTTGGCAGCATCAGTAATGTTTACATATTTCTTTTCATAATGCTCTGGAGCCAGGGAAATGACCATGAAATTTTAAAACATCTTGACCCTTTTTGAGAAAAGCAGTGGCAGCTGACCAGGTTTCTCCCACGAGCTCAGATCCCTACTGGGGAGTAACCAGGTCAAAAAAATCTACTTATGAGTTAGAGAAGAAAGTGAGTTGCATTTTGACAGGCAAAAAAATGCTTGTGGATTTTTTTGTTTTGCTTTTCCTGAAGGTATCCTTACTACATCACATGTTTTAGCATGGATATTTTTACAGTTAGTGCCACCCATGACAAGTTTGTGGTAAACAAGTAAACACAAAAGAAACTTATTCTTTTCCTGTTTAAAATAGTGGGAGGTTCACATGTATTAAAGCATTAATGCAAATTGTAAACAGTTCAGTAACCTCTTTAATATTTTATTACTTTGTAATTAACAAGCTGAATACAACTTACAGAAAACTTACCAATGTATTCTGCTACCCACATACTGGATTTTTATGGAAATTAGTTTTGCTTCTTACTCTGTGTAGTATTAAATACGTAAGAAAGAATCTAAATTATTTAGATGTAAAACTTCCTCTGAATAAGGTTCCCTCATGTCAGTTGTTATACAGGACAGAACTATTTCCTGATGTCAGAAATTGAAAGTGTGAAGCCTTTAATAATTGCTTCAACATTCAAACTTGAAAGGAAATAGTTAAATTTGCCTATTACTAACCAAGGCAAATATTATTCAGATACTAACTTTTAAAAAATATATTTAAATAACTTGATGGCAACATTTTGTCATGATAATATTATAAAATTACTTAATTGATTCTGTCTATTTGGAATCAGATAAGTTTTGGCAAATAGCAGTTGTTCAGTAACTTCAAATATGGTTCAAATATCAATCTAATGTTATCTCATCGTGCTATGTTGTTTCTTATTCTGGATTAAAAAGGTGAGAGAGAAAAAATTCTTAGTGAGTCAAAGTCTCACTAAGGTGTAAGAGAATAACAAACCCCCAGATTTTTATTGAAAATTACTCTTTTGGATGCTAGTTTCTTATACAGCGTGTTAAGGAATCAGAAGGTATCCCAAGCAAAGACTTCATGAATTTACGCACTAGATCTGCTTCTTAGAGCAGTAGATAATATCCTTCTTAGATGGTAATAAACTGAAAAATAAAATATAATGTTCTTTGGGTGTCTTGAAAAAATGCAAAAAGTTTAAGTGAACAGTAAGTGGGTTGAAGTAATAGCTACAGATAATGGGTATATAGCTCTATTGCAGCTTACCTAAATTGAGTGGATGGCTACTACAAGCTACTAGTATTTAAAAGCTAATTCTTGGTGTCTGAAAATAAGTTATTTCTCCCATGTTATTAACATCCAAATTTAGAATTAACTCTAGAAAATAAGTTTCTGTCCTCTGTTCCTTTGTGAAGGATGCAGCAGCATCATGATGTCTAAGCTAGTGATGACTTCTACTTTATTTCTTAAATGAGGAGGTATGAAAATTAAGTAGTTTCTCATTCTCAAAGGATTATTTTTATTAAAATAAAGTATTAGACCTTCAAATATTACTCTTGTTAGAGTGGCTTCATTTAAACTGATGAAGATGTGTAGCAGCTTATGCTGCCTAACTAGCTTTCTTCTGCCAAAAAGTTGTAAAATTTCTCCAGTGTAAGGCAAGTGCTATGTAGCTATATTCAAGAACTATTGATATTTTTATAGGAGCAAAAATAGCAAAGAAATGATCATTTAATACTTCCATGGCTGAAATCTGTCTCATGGGGAGAGACACTCCAAAAAACAGTGAAAAGATTTTCATTTTAGAATTTGTAATGTAGGTAATAGTTGTTGTTTTTTTAAATTATTATTTTTGCTTGTTAATACTTATAACTCCTGATCCTACATACCTGTGCACAAAAAAAAAGGAAAAAAAAATTGAATAGGAAAAATTGGGGGAAGGAAGGGAATGTTCTTTTAAAAAGGAACTAAAAAGATAAAGCTGCCAGAAATGTAGAATTCTGAAAGTCTGTGTAGTAATAAACTTGCTAACATTTTTCTTGTTTTCTGGAAAAGCAGATGCCTTTTACACAAAATAATTATTTTCAAAGGCATAGTAAAGTTTGTGAACGATGAGGGATGTAGCAAAATGATATATGTAAGTGTTGCTCTTAAGCTCTTTTCTCATTTTTAGTATAGCAGCAAATGAAGAGCAGATTCTGCAAACCCATCCCCATATTCCTGGGGATTATTCACATAAGGAAAAATTTTGAGATCTGGAGCTAGTTTTGAACTGCCTTTATGTTTATTAGTCAAAGCATCTCACTTTATATAAAAAGGGTTTTGGGTTGCTTTGACAGCAAATACAGTACTTACGGGAAATAATATTTTTTACTGTCTTGAAATTTGTCACTGTTTTGCTTTCTGAATGCTCCTTTGTTAGAAACAGTTGTTCCCGTGGAGGGAAAAAAAAAAAAAAAAAGAGGCAGCACAAAACAACCACCAGAGCAGCCCCCCCATCTTTCAGGAATACTTAAAATTTATGTAATCTTCCAGATATTCAGAAATGACAATGAATTAAAGAAAACTCAATAGAATCATTGCTGTTGAGGCCTGAAGTCTTATTTTAGCTGAAGCCAAAATACTACTGTTCGTATATAATTCCCTGTCAATTTTAATTTATTTTGCCACTTGTAATAAATAATTGATATTTTAAAATGAATTGCTCTTAGCTCTGAAAGTGAAGCATGATGTCAGAAAACACAGTACCACAGGAAGTGTTCTGCTATCCAAAATAAAGTTTTAAAGAGAAGCGAGGAGTTCTGCAGCTTATTGTTTTTCTGGGAAGTTTCCATTTTTTAACAGGAACACCTTTCCCTGGAGTGCAGCTGAGTGTTTTGGAAGTAGTTGTGACTGGTAGAAGGAAGAGTTAAATTTAAGCATTTTATAGTTCGCTTAACTTTTCTTTTGTTAAATACGTTCCTCAGCAGGTCTGTGCTGCATCTTGAGACAAAGCAGTGAAATCAGTGTGTTTATGCCTAAAGTTCAAGTTTACTTTGCTGTAGCTTTCTGGAAGGGTGTGACATGAAAAGCTTGTGGTTGGGGCCACATGGTTCATGCTGGACTGTGTTTTTGTGAATGGAGGCAGAACTCCAGTTCTGACTGCTTGTCTTGAGGAATTGCTTCGGAGATCAGCTGTCTCATTCACTGGCAGAAAGAATGACTCATACATCTTCTGCCTTGTTTGGCTCCAGGTCATTGTTACAGTGGATAGAGCTGGTTTTAATTAAATATTAACTCCTTTTGTCCTGGATGCTTGTTAATGGGGACTTTTTATTTTTGTTTACTTGCAAAGAAAGCAAGTTAAAAAGCCCTAGTTTTAAACATTTTTTTATTATTATTCCAAATTGCTTTCCCTTTGCAAGATGAGCTGTCAGTTCAGCTTTTCAGAAGCTTTTTCAAGCTTTAAAAAACTACGAAGTATGAAGTATTTTTGTGTTGTGAATGTTTGCTTTTGATAAAGTGATTTCACTACTCTGTAGGTAGTGAAACCGTAAAATCTAAACTGATAACATCCTCAATATCATAATTTAACATTTCTGTAGACTTCCCAAATCCGCTTGAGACACTGTAGCTATAATCAAAAGAAAAAGAAAACTTTTGTTAATAATCTAGACTGAGCTCGATGGCTTATGCTGCAGATGTTGTCTACTTCAGGAGTCTGAGACTTGATGGCTTGAATGTGGAATGAACTAATGTAGCTGCTTTTGCTATTTGCAGTAAAAGCCATGTGCTTTATATCCTTCAAAACCTTTTATTAGTCTTTTGGATTATACTTGCCTTCTCAAACCCCCATAATTAAGTAGCTCAGGGAAATATTCTCATGCAGTTACATGATCATTTCAGATATCTTTTTCAATTTTCCTCTGAATGGCAACATGAAACAAAATTTTGGTGATTTATGCATTGTATCTTGTTAACAGAAGACCAGTGAAAATTTTTGATAATTTGCTGAATTACAATATTTGTGAATAAAAGAACAGAGAAAATGAATGGCATATATAATAAAAATGTGCAGACGGCTGCAACACTGCAAGTTACATTTTCCTTTTGGACATCCAAGTTGAAATGTCTTTATCTGTCTGTTTAATTTGCTATAAAGTCTCTCTGTAATTGCCCAAAATCCAAGTACAAAAGCCATCTTCTCTTTGTGTACTGGGATGATGTCTGCCAAGCATTTGCCCTCTCACAACAAGATTCATGTGGAAGAAGTCTGTGTGTTAGGCTGGTGATAGTTGATTGCATTTCTGCAATGTGATCATGTGCGACTTTCAGTTCTGCAAGTTTAAAAATAATGTCAGATTAAAGAAAGGAATAATTTAAGCTCTCATTTCCAAGATAGTGGGTCCTTTTAATTTCTTTGTGTAGACTTGTGGGCTCATTTCTGAGGTAGTGATGCTACTAAAATTAGATTCCAGTAGGAAATGTATGTTCCTGGGTTGAACACTTTGGATGTTGCTATTTGTTTTGTTTATATTTAGCAGGGTTTTAAACACTTCTTAAGTTGTATTCCTTTTCCTACAGAGGCTTTTAAGGGTAAGTCAATATTGTATTTAAAACAAATTTTGACAGCATAGTCTCCACCTATTTCTAGAGTACTGATAAAGTGATACGTACCTTCATGTACCTTCATAAATTTTGGAGATCCATGAATTAAGTATATTTTTCTTGTTTACTCCAGACCAAATCAGGTGTAATGATAGTATCTCTAATACACTGGATTTCCATGAGAATACAACCGGATATATTTCATTTTTTCTTATTCTTTGGCTGGGAAAACGAGACGTCATTTACTGATATGTACATATATCTCTACAACAGATTTGTTCTGGAGTAAGTCAAGTTAAACTGATAAAATGAGAACAAAGCATCGATAAAGCAGTCTGGTGCACAGAGTGCGCTCTAGAAAGTTATATAAGATTGCTGTCCTAGTTCTGCAATCACCAAATGCAGCCTCCTAATTTCAACAAGAGTTTTTTTTTTTTCCTTTTAGCTTTTTTCAGATACCTTGGAGTCACAAATTCACACACACATATATATAAATACACACACACAAGCATGTGTATGTATAAAAAATTAGTCATACTAGCCTCCTTGCTGCATTGGAAATGATAGCTGGCTTAAGAAAAGTGTGTGGGATGGTTCTTGTGTAAACAGTAAATTACTTGATACAATTACTTTGACTCCTAATGTACTCACAAACCCTTCAAAAACAATTGGAAATGTAAGAAATCCTTAGGAACTGATTTTTTAAGTGGGATACCTTGGTTTCATAGCTGGATTCTTCTGTGACAGTCAAATATTTAGCGTTTTTATAAGGAAAATGCCTAGCATTCACATGCAGTGAGTTTCATGAAATGTCAGAAATTTCGGAGTGTTAGTATTTGGGCTCATACTGTTCCTGCCTTAATTTCTGGTAAAAGTCCTGTGGTTTCTCATAAGGAGAAAGAAATATAGTGCATCAAAAACCCTGGGAATATTTGGTTTTGTAAAATACATGTTTTATACAACTTCAAACTTTGAAGAGCTAATGCTGCAGAGGTAGTTTTCTTCTGGAAGGATAGGTTATTAAAAAAAGAACAACAAAGCAACAATAGCTGTACTTTTTTTTTTTTTTCCCCGGAGTAGTGCTAATTACATGTTCTGTAATTGTCTCACTCACACTTCTCAAATCTGTGTTTGCAGATTTCCCAAGGTCATTTGTTCTTAAGGGTTATTTGCTGCAGTTAAGACAGTAGGCCTTTAAACATTTACTTTCAAAACAAGAGCAAGTTTTTTTGTTTTTTTTTTATAATAAGCCTGACTCTGAGCTCTTTACTCAGGAAAAAAAAAACACAACCTCTTAGTTAAGTAATTGGAAATTTCCTGAGTAAGGAGTGGAGATCTGGTCCATGCACAGTACTGTGGTGCACATTCAAAATACTTGTGAATAATTACAATGAAATATGTATTTTTAATTCAGACAAATTCTGATAAAACTAGTGGCAATTGCACACACATAAAAGGGGAACTTAAGCTTCCCAAATTCAGTAAGTGTTCTGAATAGCATTAAAGTTATCTTATATCATGTAATGTGTTTAATGGTTTGATAGTCTCTGTTTTGATAAATTATTGTATAACCAGTATTTACCTCTGAATCTCATTGGGTAACCAGATCATGGCAGATGTTAACTTTTAATTTAGATCATGTGAATTATTTGCTTATGTTTAGACAAGAGCTGTGTAAATAGAAATATTTTCTAACTGATAATTTAAAGCAATTTTATTGTGATGATACTAGTTAGTGGATGTTGGGGACAACAGGCCAAAGTCCAGAGCTGGTAAGCTGGATCTCTCTCTGTCGTTGTCCAAGGATGCCGCTTCTCAGTGCAACACTCTGCAGTTACTAGAATGTATTCACCTAAAATACACATTCAGTGCTATTTCAGATTAAATGATTTAAATGAGTTTACAACACACTATGCGAGATGGCTAATGTCTTAGATATACAATGAAAAGGAATTGTGGTACAACAGATGCAAAATTATGTATCAACAGACTGTGAAATTATTGTATTTTATAGCTCAGGTTTGTGGTGCAAGTTTCCTAAAAGTGAAGATGATCTCGCACAAGCTGAACAGACCTTAATAACAATTCTTGCTTTAAGTACACCTTTTTTTTCTTTTTCCCCCCAATGTTTGAAAAGTTCTTATTGAACCAGGAATTCCGTGGTCTGGTAAAATAGTTCTTTTTTTTTGAGTATTTAAAACAGTAACAAAAAACCCCTACTGTCTTGGCTGACAGCCATGAAAAATTGGAATCGCTTTTAAGTAAGATGAAGGTGTGGTATTTTGGGGTTAAAGATGCATAAGTGTTAAACAATAGGATTTGGTTTTATGCAGAATTTCTGTGCAGATATTTTGAAAATGAGCACTGATGGGTTTTGCCAGTGGCATGGTAGGTCCAGATGCTCATGCATGGAGTAAGGCAGGGCCAGTGCCAGCGTCAGCCTTCACATCCTCCCATCCCCATCGCTCTGTTCCAGGGCTGCTTTGGGCTCGCACTGCTCCGCACAGCTTCACCCCAGGGTTTATCTGATATTGAAATGATGCGCTTGCCTGATTTTCATACCCAACATTGATTTAATCTTGGCTGTGCTTCAAATTAAGCACAAGAGTCTTTATTTATGCTTTAATGGCTTCTTTTAATTCTTTCCTTGTTTTTTGTTTGTTTGTTTGTTTTGTTTGTTTTCCTTTCTTCAGCTCAGGTACCTGACAATGACGAGCAGTTTGTGCCAGACTATCAGGCTGAAAGTTGTAAGTATAGTATGAATCATCACTTTCTCAAAAATATATATTTGTATATTTATATTTGGGTCTTCATATTTGTTACTTATTGTGTCATCTGTGGTCATATGACAGCTGCTTTTGCCGGTCGGTGACATCAGCGCAATGAGTAGATAAAGTAAGTGGTGTTTTGATGTGCAGCCAAACAAAGTGGTTTGGGCTGAAGGGTATAACCTTTAGCAGGGGGCTGTCCTGTAATTCCCACCCCCTAGCCGCAGGGAAGCAAGGTAAAAGTCATGTTGTGGAGGTGGAGGGAATTTCTGTTGGTAGAGTCAGGTGAGGAGAGTGAGCCAGTTTGAATCAGATACTGAGGTACATAGAAGGGCAGCTCTGGTGATCAGAAATTGTGCTGCTCGGTACATTTTGTGTGTAAATAAATAAAATTTTCCATGTAATCAACCACAACCACAACTGAAGCACTTTTAAGTTGTCTTAGCATGTGGCATTTTGTTGCTCAAACAAAATTTTCCTTTCAATGAATGGGAGGAAGCAGGAATTACTTTAAGCTGGATGCTTTGCATTGTTTGCTACTTTACTTCACATGTGCCCCAGCTTTCTGTTTTTTAGCCTGTACCCCTCAAATCTTGCCTTTATGGGCTGAAGTGCTATTCTGTTAAATGCTGGCTCTCCTTCTCTCTACCTGCTGTTATGTGGTTTTGGAAGGTTGCAAGGGTGTGGTAAAAAAATGAGAAACATCTGGTGAAGTCACAGACTTCTTGAAGCTTCTTTATGCATCTTTCCTTCCTCGTGGCAAGGCTTCGCTCTCTGTCGTCAGAGGTGTCTTCTACGTCGGGTCTGCAGATTATAGTGGGGCACATGTTAGCTCTTTTGTTTTGCTAAATGACTTAAGTAGTTTACTCTATCAAAGTGAATTGCTGCAGTTCACTAAACAGACAGCTGTTAAATACAGCATTCATGTACTGAAACGTTAGGATTAAAATTAGTAAGATTAGAAATAATTTCATTGAAATTGTCTTTCACCCAACATGCAAATTCAGACCTATGAGTTTCCTTACAAATCTCATAAAGGATCTTTTCAGTAATTTAGAAACTGTTTTAAGAATAATTTATTAAGAGTATTAGTACCAACATTTTTTTTTTGGGAAAAAAAAAAAGTAATCCCCTGGACTCTGATAGTATACCGGCACAGAAACATTTTTTGTTTGTTTTTATCTTAAAGTTACTTTACCATATACCAACTAACTATCAGGGTCATTTGTAAGCCCTTTAAAGTTGCTCTTTGTAACATTTTTTCTCTCCAACTCTGGCTTCAAAGACTTAAAAAAAAAAAAATTATTAAATTATAATATGAAAGTCAAAACTATTCTATAAGTTGAAAATCAGATACGTTATCCTACATATGGAGCTGTGTCCAAATAGAGTCATGTATGCATATATCCTTTGTGTGAAGAGTACAAAGTTCAGTTAGGGCTTCTATTAACCCATAATTATCGTTACACAACAAGTCAATGATTCTTGGAAAATAATTTGTGAACTGTGAATGAAAAGCTCCATTGAAGCTGCTCACTGCTTTTGGTGATAAAGAAATTCTCCTAATATGGCTTTTATTAATGCTGTTGTATTTCAAAGTCCCTGAGCCACAGCTTACACACTATTATCAAAGGAACATTTATTTCTTCATTTCAGTTGGTTTCTTTATCTTAAGTAAAGGTCAGGAGAGCTTCCTGGAGAGTTACTCTGGCAAAGGTTATGGAGTTTCAGACACACGCTTGGATATAATGTGTGTAGCTGTGGGCTCTGCAAAATAGAAATGGAGATCAACATAACCAAAACCATGGGGAAATTACTGCTGCAGAAGTAGTACAATTGTGACTGTTTTCTCTAGGATTCAAACCTGCCTTCAAACTCTATTATAATGACTTACTATATATAATCTAGAAATCTGTACAGTGTTCACCCTGTTACTGGCAGCAGGTTGGCAGGAGCACTTGCCTTCCCCCCCCCAACCCCCCCCACACTCCCCCCAAAACATGGGAGAGGATGGGCAAGCCTTCATTATTTAAGTATTTAATACACTTAATTTAGCCAAAAATGATGAAGGACAGAAGTGTAAACTGGTGAGTGGAAGAGGTCACAGATGCTTTCCAGTTTAGGGGAAGCCAAACTGTGGTCAGCCACCTCATTTAAATTTGCTGCACAAATTTCATTTATGCAGGTGTCTCTAGGCAGGGTGTATGTGTGTGATTTGCAGAATATGTAAAGGAAATTGAAGTGCTCCATTGAAACAGTCTGCAGTCCAGGTACAAAAATTAGTGACATTTCATTGCTTTAAATCAAAGTAGATTTGTTGTCTTAAATGGAAACTTGTAAAATCAAATAAACTTGTAACATTCTTACACTTTAAGAAACTTCAGTAACAGCAGCAGGTCTGGAAAGCTGTGGTTAAAACTTTCTTGGCTAGAAATCACCACCTTAGTCAACTCTTGAAGCAAAGTTGTGGAGGGTAGTGGTGGAGCTGATACTGCCAAGAACGTGTGCTTTGTCCTAGTGCTGAGCAGGATTAAATGCTCCTTAAAGTGCCGTGGGTTTTGCGTTTCTGTTCTGCAGTAATTATTTTAACTAGTGAAACTGCACTGGTATTAGTAACTAAGGGAAACATTTAGTTTAGATTAGATATACAGTCCACTTTATCTACTTAGGGATTTTACTTCAGAGCTTGCTTGAAGCCATGAATATTTCAATTATGAGTTCCTATTAAACTTCAATCAATTTTCAAGAAGCAAACATAATATATATATATTTATAGTTAGGTGTGGGCTTTAGATATTATGAGTGAGATCAACAGCTATCGTAACTTCATGTGATATTATTGATGTTCCTGGAATTATGCATATTTCTACTAGCTAAGGATCCAGCTTGTCAAGTTTCCCCTTAATGCTTTAAACTTCACTTTATTTGTTTAAAGTAGAATTAATTTTGTTACTCCATTATGTCTTCTGGAAAAGGGCGCCTCCTTGCTATACTAATCTTAGAAATATCTGCACTTCCAAACCTTTATTTTTTTGTCACAACATCCAAAGCCCCATCTTGTCCATCTTGTATTACCTTTTATTAAATATTTTTTAAACTTTGAATACTTTTCACAAAGAACCTTTTTGTAGTTCTCTCAGAGTGAGCGGAATGAAGACTAGATAACAACTAGCCTGTTCAGATGAAATTTGAAAAACAACTACCAGTTTAGTTTCTTGTAACCTTCTGTTTTCTGCAACAACTGAACTGTGTGAGTTCTAAGGGAGAAAAATGTGTATAAAAATATTTTTTTGGCTTGCAGTTACTCTGGAAAAATATCACAATTGCACATTAAATAGTGTAATTTTCTTGCTCTTTCATTTCCACTCTCAAAAGAAATGAAAATTCCACAGAGAGGGAGGAATCATTTCTACAGGCGTTTACTTGGAAATTCAGCAGGTTGCTTTTGGCCCGTTCTGAATCTGCCTCTACAAATCAGCTGACCTGTTTGCTGTAGATTCAAGTGGCTTCCTAATGACTCTTACTTTAGCAATTACATGAAAAGCTATGCAAAGCAAAAACTGAAAATATGTTTCTCCAAAAAGGTAAATGCCTTTTTTTGGTAAAGATCAGCACTCTGTGTGAGACATTTTTTCCAAATTCTTAAGACTTAGTTAAGCTGTTTTTCTGTCTTTATAAAGTCAGTATACACGTGTAGAGAAGGGTGACCTGTGTTAACTTCCTCAGATAAGGTTTCCTATTGTTTCAAGTCCATTTTCATATACTGAGGAGGAGCCAGATCCTGAACTGGTTGTAATCAGTGGCGAAGCTTTCAGATACTGTAGTGCAGCAAGGACTTTCCAGTCCAGGAGTAAAAATGAAAAAAGCATTCAGTTTGCTCGAAGTCAATAGCTGTTGAGGTGAAGATTGCTTGCGTCCGTTGTTTGGATGGTTTCTATGACAGACACAAGAGGAAGTAGGTAGGATTTGCTGATGTTTAAAAGGATGTAGTTGGCAGAAAAAACTTGGTATTGTCAACAGTATGCTGATTTGTAACTCGACCTCGGTACAATTGGTTATAAATGGGGATTATCCTGCACCAGACTAGATTGACTGGTGTCTCAATAGCATAATCGTGTTTTGTTCTAACAATATGTATTTGCAGTGGTCTATTCTTCTAGAGTTTGTTTTTTCTTCTTTTTCCCTAAAATGTAGGTTACTCACTTAAATTTCCTTATAAACTCTAGTTTTTTGCTTTGCATTTGTTACTGAATTTCTGCTAATGAAGAACTGTGCTATGCTTTACTTTCTTGATGGGTTTCCTTCCTTCTCTTTAACTTTGTTTAACTGTATTCTTTCCTTGAACATCACAGTCTTAACACTGCCAAGAGGTAAATGTTAATGTTAGACCACAGCTGTTGACAGTAAATGGGAAGGGCTGGTTGTAAAATCTGTGCTCCTTCATGTCTGATTAAACTTTTAAAATCGGAAAAATACTTTTTTGGTAGTGATTTTGTAGCTGATCTTTTATGACCTTTATTATTTCTCTTACCTTTTTTTTTTACTCCAGGTTTAGCAAAGGAGTTCTTTCAGTGTAGATGCTAGGAGGCTTAAATTATTCAGGGATGTGCTTTTTAGATGCGCTGGCTTGCAATCTTTAAAAGCCTGTTAAAGAGAGATTCTTTACATAGGCTTCAGGTAGCTGTATTCTTCTGTCATTTTAACTAATGGCTTAGGATATTCCAAATGCAGTTTAAATGAGGAAAAGCTTTAATATTTATTTGCATGTTTGCTGCATCACAAAATCATGATGTATTTGGGGTTTTTTTGTTTAGTTTTTCCCCTTCCACTATCAGGTGAAAAATGCTGTTTGTTTTTCCTTTCTCTGACTTAAATTTCAAAAGCGAATTTCAGAACTAGAAGAGCATTTCCTGTTTGTGTTAGTATCGGCAAGAGCCTGTGGGCAATTGGTAGAGGTTGAGTTTCATTTTTTTTTTACA